GCCCGAATAAACACTGTGGGCTTTACTTAAAACAAGGAATAACTCTTTCATTCACCAAATGGTGGTGAAAAACACTTTTGTGGTTCCACTAGGACTCGAAACTCGAAACCTCATTCCTCACATAAATGAGGAAGACAAACAGGATTCCACCATATAATCGGCTTAAAAAATAATTTTTATAAATATTTTAATTAAATAATAAATGTTGATTTTCTAATTTGGGCTAAACTTAAGGTTATGTTTAGGAATATCCTAAATCTCATCATTCCCTTCTATTCCCATATTTATATATAGTTAATTTAGTTCTTTTGTTCTGACGTGCCGATACACTGTTGACTATACTCGTAATTATATGCTTATTGGTTATTACTCGTTTTACAGCTTTTCTATTTATATAATGTAAAAATATAAATTCTTATTTAGATTACAATAAATAAATTATATGTTTTGAACTGTAATATTCTCACTAAAAAAATTTATATATTTGGTTTCTTACTTTAAAAAAATAGCAACTTTAAATAAGAAAATATGTCATTTATATTCTAATTCAACATTTACACTAGGTCATATAGTTGTTATTATTACCACTAATTGCTTTTATCTTTTTGTTAACTACCAAATTGTTTTATAAAAAATTCATCATAAGGAAACCTTTTATTTATGTTTTATAATAACTTACATGTTTGTTAATAACTTTCACTATAATCTATTTTTAGTTAATAAATATACTTTAACAATTAGAATAAGAAACTTAATATAATTAAATTCAAATTAAATATTTGTAAATAATAATTATTTTATATTTTTATTTTTATTTTTTATCCAATCAAAATCATTGAAATCATTTTAAAAATTTTATTAATAAAATTTATATTCCTAAGGGAGAAAGAATATGGTTTGAAATTAAATAAAGATATCAATATAGTAATATTTATATGCTTAATATAATTTCCAAAATTCCATAGTTAAAAATTTTATTCTATTGGAAATTTATTTTTTAAAAAAATATATCCAATCAAATATAAAACATAAAAAAGAATATTAATAAAAATATATTTTTCTCTATTTTTATTCCCTCCTAAATAAAAACAATTTAAATTATAATTAAAATTAAATTAAATAAAATAATAAATTTTTTAAAATTTAAAATACAAAAAATTTTCAAATGTCTCAATATCATATATATTTATTAAAAATAAATTTCAAAAAAGATAAAAATTTAAAATTTTGAATATTTAATTATCTATATATATTTATTTTAAAAAATAATTTTATAAAATTATATTCCAAATTCAAACTACATATATATTATATTATATATTATACTATACTATTATATATATTATATTCAAGAAGAAGATTAAAAGAAATATAAATTTTACCATAAACTATTTACATCAATTTAATATTTATTAATCTTATTACTGTATAAAATTTTTCATCTTTTATTGTCATAGTTTTGATTAATTTCTAAGAGTATGTGTAAAAGAAAAAATATTTCATATATTATTTTCTATATAAAAAAAAAAGAAAATATTAGGTAATTTATATTTTATTTTAGATAATCATCTCTAAGACAAAAAAAAGTAGAAGAAAGTGAAAGAAAAAATTAATTAAAATATTTTCATTTTACACCATTTTATCATGAAAATTATAATTATTTTTTTCCTTATAAGAACTAAAAAAAATAAAATATTAGGAATTATCTAATATGCAGTATAAATTATCAAAAATTTATATTTAAAAATTTATTTATTTTGAAAAATTTTATTTTGGAAAAAATTTTATTCTATTTGAAAATTTATTTTAAAAAAATGTATCCAATCAAATCATACAAATATAAAGAAAAAGAAGTATTAATAAAAAAATATTTTTTTTCTATTTTTATCTCAAACCTAAATAAAATACTTTAAATTATAATCAAAATGAAATCAAATAAATAATAAACTCAAAAAACAAAATATAAAAATTTTCAAATGTCTCATTATCATATATATTTATTAAAAAATAAATTATATCAAATCAACTAACAAAATATAATTTTTTAATTGACCATCATTAAAGGTATTTTAGAACATTTTAAATTTCATTAAGGATGATATAGGTAGTTCCATTATTTCCCCATCATTCTCACTTTTTATATATAGTATGGAAGTATAGACCAGTTCCTTTATGACATGCGTTGCACGTTGACTTTACTCGTTATATACTCATTTAATTTCGTTACTTATATAATATTAAAGTATAAATTTTTATTTAGATTAAAATAAATATAATGATTATCGTTACTTATATAATATTAAAGTATAAATTTTTATTTAGATTAAAATAAATATAATGATTAAGTAATATTGCACATACATATACAATGAATTTTTTTAACATGTCTTGTATTGTAACATCTAATTGAAAAGAATATGATTTTTTGCTTCTCCCTTTAATAAAAAATATAATTTTATTGTTAATTAATTATATGAAATCACTACAAATTTACATTTACCATACTGAAATATTCTATAATTTGGCGATGCTAATAAATTGAGATTTACTTTATATAGTCGCAATATAAGATATGACTTTGATCTCCACATCAATTATTTTTGTTGGATGAAGTTAAACTGAAATTTTATCAATAGCATATAATATTTTGGACCATATCCTTACAAAATCAAAAAATAAATTGCTCCACATGGAAATCAATATGTAGAGTTGTAAACAATAATATTGGTAATGAATTGTACTTTCTCAAGTTTAGAGAAGATATAAATGAGATTAACAAAAATTATAAAGTCATGTATAAAAAAAAAATTTGAAAAAACATTAACATTTAAAAGGTCTAATTATTTTTATATCTATTTAAAAATATTTTAAAAAAACATATCCAATTAAATCATAGAAAAATTAAATAAAATTCCAAAAAGCAAAGAATAAAATATTGAATAAAAAAAGTGCCCTTGAATTTTCTCTTTATTTCATTTTTAATATAGAAAAGCTGAAAATAAAAATGATAGTAAATTCAAACATTTATAGCCTATTTTTTCAAAAAGATTTCATTAGACTTAAAAAGGAAAAACTCTCTCTTTTTATATTTGAAATACTATAATTTCATACTTCTGATACTTTTTATTAAATTTAAAAAATTTTAAAAAACTCTCTCTTTTTATATTTGCAATACTATAATTTCATACTTCTGATGCTTTTTATTAAATTTAAACAATTTTAAAATACAATAATATATAAATGATTCAAATAAGTATACACCATCCCTTTCACAAAAAAAAAAAAAAAAAATCAAAGAGAAAAAAAAAAAAAAAAAAAAAATCAAAGAGAAATAATATATTTAAAAAATTATTTAATTTAATATTGAATTAACTAATAAAGTCTAGTAATAAAGTGTTTAATCATATTTTAAAAAATCAAGAATATAATTTAAAAAAATTCAGAATATAATAAATTAAAAGAATTTAAATACTATTTTTAATACTTGAATTAAGATTTTTTATTTACCTCCTAAAAAATAATATAACATGAGAACATATGATTAAGAACATAAAAACTATTAATTATAAAAATTATTGGACAATATTATTATAAGATCAAATAGAAAAAAAAAATATATATATATATATTTTCTCGAATTAAAATGTATAAAAAATCTAACTAAAATGATATTCAAAAGAAAAGTGAAATCTATTTTCTTTGATTAAAATGCATTAAAAATATAAGTAAAAAGAATATTTAAAAGGATAAATAAACTTACTTTCTCTGATTAAAATGCAAAAAAAAAAAAAATAATAATTAAAATGATATATTAAGAATTCTAAATTAAAGTAAGACTATTTTAGAAAATCCCATAATTTCCTCCTCGATTCCACATTTATATAGATTATAGATTATAAATTCATTTTATTATCTATTAAGTTAAAGAGAGAAAAATAATTTAATTTAAACCCTAAATCGAATAAAACTAAAAACATATATAGTAAATAGAGGAATTTTTAATTTTTATGTATATCCTTATTATATAACATTAAAATAATTAAAAATAAAATATATTTATAATTAAAAATTAAAAATATATTATTAATATATATAATGTTAATTATTCTATTAAGACATAATCTTTAAAATAAAATTAATTGGTATATAGTTAACATTAATAATGTATTTAAAGCATAATATTTTAAAATAATTAATTTGGTCATTAATTAATATTATTTTATAATATTTTAAATTTCGGTTAAGGGTATTATCGTAACGTTAATTATCTATTAAACATAATATTTCAAAAAATAAAATTTATAACGTTAATTATCTATTAAACATAATATTCAAAATAAAATTTAATTGGTCATTAAAAATGTTATTTTAGAACATTTAAAATTTCATTAAGAACATTATAGGTAATCCCATTATTCTCTCATCATTCGGACTTTTATATATAATATAGAAGTATATATATAGATAAATAGAAGTACAAATATTGATAGATAGTATAGATATAGATAAATATAAAAGTCATAATTATTTTAATATTATAAATATATTAAACACCAGTTGAAATTTAATTATAAATTAGAATTAGAATCCTTTTGTAACGATAGCCATTTAGACACTACAGTGAAACATATGTTTTGAATTTCGGAGGACACTTTAAAAACCGGAATCAGAAAAATCATTTGTACATAATATATTTGTACAAATCATGTAATCATGTAAGTTAGCAGCTATAATAATAGATATTAAATTGAATAAAAAGATAAAAACCATTTATCTTTATTTTAATAATTTATTATTTATTTAGTTGTTTTAAAAAATAAATAAAATAAATAAAAAAGATATAAATAAAATAAATAACAAATGAGAAGAAAGTATAAACAAAAAACCAGTAAAATATAGAAGTCTTCAACGACGAATGCAAATATTGCTTGTTTACCCTAAAATATACCCAACATATCGAGACGACGCAGTTTTGGATATCCTTAATAAGCTAATGCCTAATACATTGTTCGATGTCGATTTCTTTGAATCCTTTCGTTCCTGTCGCTCCTCAGAAGTCCGATCAGTTGCTCTCCTTCCTCTCTCCTCAGAATAGTTGCTCTTCCTCCGTTTCGAGCTTCGACAGCTTCATTCAGCTTCAGCGTTTCCGGCTGGGATTCAGTTTAGGTCTGGGATTTTGACTTCGATTTGTTCTTCTGTGGGGACCGGCGATTGAGTTATGGTAAAACAAAAATGAAACCCTAAAGCGATTTCAGATTCTGTAGGTTTGTATTTGTTGTTATTTTATTTTCAAAATTCTTTTGATTTCCTGTCAGATGTTTGTGCTTTTTGTTTCTGCTGTACTATTGATCTTAATATTTGGGATTTCATCAATATTTAGGAATTTCTGTAATTCTGCTGTGCGATACATTTCCTTTTTTTTTTTTTTTTTTTTTTTTTGTTGCCGATAACATTTCCTTTTTTTTTATTTTTTTTTTTTTTTTTCAGTCTTGACTATTTTTGAATTCAGACATGCCAAGAAAATTGCAAAAGAAGTTGGTGACCTTATAGGACAGGGGAACCCGGGGAATAATGTTGATGTAAGATTAGAAAAATTTACAAGATGGGAAGTTTACTGTGATATATATATATATATATATTATATATATATAATATATATATATTATTCTTCAATAATGATTGTATTTTTAATTAATTTCAATCTGCGATTTAGATTAGTGCTGGCTTTTCTAGAGCATTTTGTAACCTGTTGTCCGAACTAAGTTTTGGCAGACAAAATTGGTTTAAGGATTGTTTTGTTTGGCTTCCGATGCATTGTAGGCATTGGAGCACCTAAGAAATATATGGTTTTAAATTATATTTTTACCCACCTCGTAACATGGAAGTAGACCGAGTATCATGTGAGTAAATATTATTCCTAATTGTGCAATGTTAAGATGGTAGTTTGTTGCAGTTATGTTTTATATATTTAAATGTTCCTTAGAGATTGTACAAATAAATATCAGTATCATAGCCTGATTAGTTAATAATATCAAAATACTGGTCTTTATATATTCTCAATTGATTGTATTTAATTAATTCAATCTGCGATTTAGATTAGTCTGGCTTTTCTAGAGATTTGTACTGTTGTCCGAACTAGTTTTGGCAGACAAATTGGTAAGGATTGTTTTGTTTGGCTTTCCGATGATTGTAGGCCATGGAGCACCTAGAATATATGGTTTTAATATATTTTACCACCTCGTAACATGGAAGTAGACGTAGTATCATGTGAGTAATATTATTCCTAATTGTGCAATGTAAGATGGTAGTTTGTGCAGTTTATGTTATATATTAAAATGTTCCTTAGAGATTGTACAAATAATATCAGTATCATAGCTGATTAGTAATAATATCAAATCTGTCTTTTAAGTTCTGCATAGAAAACATCTTCATCATCAAAACCATTAAATTCCAGAGAATGGTCTGTGATCATTTGATTGTTGGTTTGAGTTGGAGTGGTTTAATGGAAGCCCATATAGAGAACTTAGGAGTGAAAAATGTGTCTTAATTTAAGATTAGAAATTTGCAGTATTTATATACACATAAACCTATTGGTTTGAGGTCAAAGCTAATTACAAATTCATGAATACTGGATATATAAAATGCTCCAAATGGATTATGAATTTGGAGGAATTTCTCGTTTTTGTAAGTTACTAAATGTCTACTTATTATTTGTTTGATTAATGTTTTCAATTTTTCCTGCTTTTAACCAAGTGTATTAAAATGACTTGAGGATTAATCTGATTATAATTCTTATTTTCCAAGTTCAAAATATGGTTTTTGATTAATTAGTGGTAAAAAAATACTCTAATTAATCATATAATTAGCCACGTGTCATTATCCGATTTCTGTGTTAAAACTCAATTAATGAACTGAACCGGTTCAGGTAATTACCTAAAATCAATCGGTTTGGTTTTTGCTCACAAAAATTTTGGTTTATTCAGTTTTCACTAGTTCAGTTTGGTTTGGACCAAAACAATTGAATGTTTGCCCCTACAAACTGCTTCTAATAGCAGATTCAGTCTCCCTCTCAAGCAGCGTCGCCTACTTTCTCTTTCTCTCTCTCATGTGTGGCCAGAGCTCTTATCATAGTTCCTGGGTGAAATTCTTCTATTTCCGTTTTCACTTTGTCTCTCTTAGTTTATTTTTTTTAGTGTATATAAATTAGTAATCTGTCCAAACCAGCAGACCTGTATCCCCACCTTTTCTGACTGTGTTCTGGTGATCCATCACCGAATTCCACTCTTCCAGTTTCCACTACTGGAGCATTTCCCTCTGCTATCCTTCGCTAAAAAACATTCAAAGAGCCACAAAACAGACATACCCGAGAGATCACCCAGTAGGTGAATTCGCTGATCTCCTATTGAAGGAAGAGGTATGATGACAATTTAATAAGTAATCCTGTCAACTGACTTTGGTTTGGATTTTTATTCTTAACATTTTTTAATAATAACGTTGTTTGATTTGAATTGTCGTATGTGATATCTGTTTAATCTTAGAAGATAAATGTGGACATTTGCACTTCTGATGAACTAGTGTTATTATCTGATGGTATTAGATATCTTTGCTGTTAGTATGATTGCTTTTCCAATTTGTTTGATTTTATAACTTTTTACGTGATTGTTGTTCTTTTTTAGTTAATTTTCATTTTGAATGTGTCTTTTTCCTTATTATATTGCTTTGGGCAGTTTGTGCAGTTTAGTTTATTATATTGCTTTGGGCAGTTTGGTTGCATTTAGTTGATTTTAATCAGATTTGGGATGGTATGGATGCAAATTGATGAATTTTTGAATGTTTTATCAAATAATGGGAATGTTAAACATTTTCGGTTAAAATTTGATGTTGTGAAGTGTGGTCTAATTTAAAATCTTAAAAAAACTTTATTCTCTTGTGATAAGAGTTAAAGTGTGTATAACGCCAAATCGTAGAAGGATTTTAATAATTTTACTAATGGTACACCAAAAGTGGGAGAGTTTTATCTTCTACTTAATATAAAAATTATATCACAAAATTAAAATTTCGAACTCTTGAAATAATATTTTTATGGACTAATAACATAGAATAAGGTGTCATGTGCATGCCAAATGGTAGTCATAAATAAAAATGCCCTTTTGAATGAGATAAGAGCACTCATTTAATTTTTTATGCACAAACAGATACTATTGGGTGCTTCTATTTTACAAGTCTTGGAACTTCTTGTGCTTTGAGAAAAAGTGGGAAATGGTTAACAGGTTTGCTCCACTCAATGCATACATATGGTTTTATCTTATTGTTGAAGCTTGAAGAGAATATCTCAAAACTATCTAAAAAACTTTCTGTGTTGCACAGGTATGGACTGTTTTGATTTGTGTAGAATATCATGTTGCAGTGCATAGAGGGATTTATTGCTTCCCTATTGCGGTGTTGCGATCTTGATTTATACAAACAGTCAAGAGGCCTAGAAGATCCTGAACGTCTTGCAAGGGAGACTGTGTGTATGCCACTAACCTATAGTTTATGATATTGTTAATCCTTAGATTTGTTTAAGCTGTGGCTGTCCATTAGGTTCTTGTTGTGTCATATATAATTTTTAAATTGTTGCATGTATTCTCTACAATATTGTTCTTGCCAACTTTGCCTTTGTGTTTTCCAATGTAGAAGTCTTGCAAAAGGGGTTGGGGGGAACATTTGGAAAGAAGGTTTAATTGGAAAACATATCTAAACTTTTGCTAGTTTTTGCAATTTTATACCAGTTTAAGGTTGCAATTTTTTACTACTTAAAATTAGTCAAAATTAGGGGAAAAGAGAGTTACAAACCCAATATCTTGGCAGATCTAAGGAGTATACCCTAGCCCAAGAATAAAAGTCCTTGAACCTCATCAAGACAAGCATTGATGTAGGTTAGCTTGTAGGACTGAATATTGAAGTTATTTAGGTTATTTGAAAGCTAGATTGGCTAGAAAATTAGTTAAGGTACCAAAATTTGTAACTAATAGTCGCTAGATAGCAAAATAGTATGGTGAAAAACAGATTTTGGAGGCTTTTGGAATGGAAATTAAGGTACTATAAACTATATGAAACTCAGTTATACGTCTCAGGTTGCTGTATGGGTATGCATATGGAGTATATCAATTAGCTGGATGCACAGTAGACTAAGGGTAGTTTTAATTGGTATGCTATTTTGATAATGGGTATGTGACTTGTACGTTTTTGTATCACCAGGCTTTTTATTGTTAGCAAAAAAAGTTTTGTTATTACTGGTTGTAAAAAATAATTTTTTTGTTATTGGGAAGAGGAAAATTTTACTTGGGCGAGATTTGAAATAATACTCTTCTGGAACAATTAAAAAAAATTATTGTTGCACAAAAAAAAGTGCTATACCCTTCCCAATATCCTCATTTTGGGGAAACAATTCAAAGATTACACTAGGGACTATAATCTCATTTACTCTTAGCTGTATCTTGTTGGATTATAATAATCAATAAATATCTAGTCCCACTTCCTGATCACCCCAAGTTCTCTCTAATTGTCGTTTTTGCTTCTTCTTCTATAGTTCCTGCTGCAACTTTGGCTTTTTATTGCTCTTTCCTTGTTCAATCAAAACTCAATGGCTAATGCTTTTTCATCTTCATTAGAGTGTTATCTGAAAGTACATTCCAAGAAACATTTAGGCTTCACACCTAAAGTTTCCATTGCATCAATTCTAGTTTTAAGTTGAATCAAACTACTTGAGAGCAACTATTGCTTGAAATTTTTATTGCATAAGAACTATTTTAAAGCATTGCAAGCGTAAGTACATATTGACTCGAGTTAATCATAACCTTTATGGTAATTGACTTCAACATGGAATATATCATCCTAAACCACACAAGGACTCAAATTAAATCTTGTAAGTCAAAATAAAGACTCCTGAAAGGCATCTAGACAACTTCTTGTAAGGGTTAATTAGCATAAAGATAATTGATCTTACAATATATTTCATCAAGTCAACAAACATTGTAATTGAGGACTTGTTAACTGTTTTCAACAAGATTTGTGCAAAAATCTCATTGAAAATTTATTAACTTTTCTATTTCCAGCAATTGACTTACTTGTTTGGATATTTAAATGACTATAAAAGGACTGAAAGCGTTCCATAATATCCAAAAGGCTTAGTGACAAAAAATCTTGACTTCTAACACTTTTTACAATTTTGACAAATTCTTTTAGTTTACCAATACATGATATGAATTTATATTTTCCTTTACAATTTTAGTCCCATTAATTTACTATCCAGCTTTAACTATTGTTGCTTGTGTAGCCATTTATTTCGAAATTGGGTCCCCACCAGTTATTTCAATAAGAATTTTTTTTTTCCATATTAATATGTGCTTTTTCTTTCGTTCTCTCTCCCCTTTTCTCCTCCAACACCTTTCCTACCAGCAGAGGTTTTTCGATGGTCAAAAACCACTAAGCAACCAAATTTCTTCACCGATTGAGAGGTCATTAGCTGGGAATTTTAAAAAATTAAGCAACTAGCCAACTTATGTATTAATTATAGAACATATCCTCCTTAAAACCATTTAGATTCAAGGGCATTCTTGTACCCAACAATCATAAACAATTGCAGAGAACTCTAAACCATTGCTCAAATGCCATGGCCACTCTAGCCAATATGCAAAATTGATTACTGCAACTACAAACCCAATATTCAAAGGCTTAACGACTCAACCAAGATTGTGAACAACCGAGTTGCATTAGAATTGCTTAAGGCCAATAATTAACTCATTGTGCAAAAAACAAAGACAACTCCACGAAAAATGCAAGATAATCAAAGAAGAGAACAACTTAATCCAGCAAAGACCATTTAAAAGCAATTTATGTACTGTGCAAAAGAATACAGAATTACCTAGATCACTCTTCAAAAATTATTTGATAGAGTAATAAAGAGAAATAGAGATGGATGTGTAGATAGATATATGAAAGTCAATTTCATGCCATTGTTGAATCCACTCTTGCAATCGAGTATTGGAAATATAATGCATCCTTCTATTTCCGTCTTTCTTTAATGATCTCAACTAGAACATATACATCACCATCTCCTTAAATTAGGCTGCGTTCAGTGATTGTACTGAATTATTAATCTTCTTCGCCAATAATTTACAAGTGAAATCACAAGCCACGGAAGCTTCTGGAGCAGTTAGATACTTTGCCTTACAAACGACTTAGACGTTTGGGTTGTTAAAATCAATGATTCAGTGTTGATAGTTTCGCTTCTTGCTCCTCCATCTATTTCTTATTTTCCTTAATAACTTTAGCCTGTTGCTACTATCAATGATTCTCCTTTCATGGTCACCATTTTAGTCTTGCAATTCACTCTCTACCTCCTATTCTATTCTTCCTTTCTTTATTTCATTTCTTGATTTTTTTACTTTGTTTGATCAATTCTTTTTTCTCCTTTTTTTTTTCTCTTTGTTGAGTATCCAAACAATAAAAAATACTGATAAAATAGATGATTTTAGTGGATCCCACCATACAGGTATAATGGAAATACTTGAATTTGACAAAAATACTGGAGGCTAAAATTGTAAATAATGAATACCTTAATATTATTGCTTGATAAATTAAAATAATTGGTTAAAATTGTAAAAAGTGCTATGATTCATAGTTTTTTAGTCATTGAGCCTATCGAAAATATAACCTATAAAACCTACAGCATAATTTGAAGATTGTTTGTGTTTAAAATTTGACTTTCTTGAGTTTCCTATTGTATACATGATTCCCCTTGGAGAAAATTTGACTTCAAATTTTGATATACCTCAAATGAATCCTTAGTAATTTGAAGGCTAGAATGGGTAGCGATCTTGATAAACAACTAGAGTTTGTAACATGAAAAATTATGAAGCAAAGAAGTGGAAGAAAGGTTGTAGGGGTTGTTTGCAAAGAAATTCAGGCACTATGAACAATACCTATTTCATACAAATAAATATCAACACATGACTGGTTAAAATTGAAGATTTTGTGCTTCATGCCTACATGTCTTTAAGCATCATACGCAAGGCTTCCATTGCAATCACTCTTGAGGATTGAACAATTTCATCATACAATTCAGAGAAGCATAATTGCTTGTAAAACTAAATTATAAGTATAGGTATGTATTGTAAACTTAAACTAATCTAGAATCTTTAAAATTGGATTTGAATTTTTGAATTTACACCTCCTGTCAATTATATATATATATATATTGAGTCATGCAATTTTACGTGAACCAAGATTAAGAGTCCCATGTTTCTAGATCGTCAACAAATTTCTTTTGCTTTAAGTAATTTTTGTGACGTGGCTTTGTAGAATTCATTTAAGTTTTGTAAAATAAATATATTATTAGGTGTAACATTGATGTACTAGCGACCCAAAAATATAGAATTCACACAAGTACCAAAATAGCTTACCAACTAGTTTTTTACCCTCTGGTTTATTGCATTCCAGCATGTTGCTGTAGTACATATTCATACCCGTACCACGACTAGAAACATATCGTGTTCCAGGTAAATATAACCAGTACAGTCATAAAAGATCAATTTGTTACAATGAAGTCACAAACTTTAATTTTTGTTTTACTTCGGCCTTGTTAAACTAAATTTTGTTAGAAGGCTACTAGAAAGATTATGTGGCAACTTGTGCTAATATTTTTAATGCAAAATTGAGAAAGCCTAATCCAATATACTATATCCTTGCATTCTCTATCCTATTTAAAATTTTTCTATTCCCCTTTTATCTTGTTTGAGAGAGAGGTAGCCCAAATGGAAAGAAAGAAAGAGACAGAGAAAGGAGCTAGATGGTGGTGGTGATAAGAATATAGGATCTTGCATGTAATGTGACTTGGATCGGTGGTTTAATTGGTAGAAAGTTATGTTTGTGTATAGATTGGAGATGAGATTTGTTGTGCTAGACAGAGAGAGAGAGAGAGAGAAATTGGGTTGGTGGTTTAATTGGTGGAAGGTTAGTTAAGAAATGTAAGTTACTGTTGCCATAAGGTTAATTAAGAAATGTATGTTATTGTTGTCATTGCTATTAGGTCTATGGTTGTATTTTCACTGAAGATTGTAGCTTTTCTAACACTGTATGCAGTCAGTGTGAGTGAAATAGAGGCACTATATGAGCTTTTTAAGAAGATCAGCAGTGCTGTGATTGACGATGGCCTAATCAACAAGGTTTGTTTACTATTTCTAGAATCCATACGTTTATCATGTTTGAGTTAGATATTCATATAAAATCTAATTCAAACACCTCAGATTATTTGATGTATTTTTCTTGTTTAAATGCTTTCTTATTATTTAAGCAAAGCTTTGACATGTATATTTCCTCAATCTCATTTTACAGGAGGAGTTTCAATTGGCATTGTTCAAGACAAATAAAAAAGAGAGCTTGTTTGCTGATCGGGTAATTAACTTTTAAAAAAAAAAATTTTTTTTATAAACAAAAATTCTAATTGTATCCAAACAGTTCTGTTCTAGTTAGAGAGTACCTTAATCTAATTATTAATCATGTTGCATGTTTTATCCTTACATGCTTGTTGGTTGCAGGTCTTTGACTTGTTTGATACCAAACACAATGGGATCCTAGGTTTTGAAGAGTTTGCTCGTGCCCTCTCTGTTTTTCATCCAAATGCCCCCATCGATGACAAGATCGAGTGTATGTTATTTGAGATTGTGAGAACTTCTCTAAGTCATTTCATTCTTGGTTGAGTTGACCATAACAATGCAATGCAATGTTGCAGTTTCTTTTCAACTGTATGATCTTAAACAACAAGGTTTCATTGAAAGACAGGAGGTCAGTACTACTGGTTCAATATTTTTTTTTTGTTACTCTGGCATTCTATATTGAACTTTCAGTTTTTTAACTTTCTGTGTATTGATTTATAGGTTAAACAAATGGTAGTTGCTACTCTTGCTGAATCTGGTATGAACCTTTCAGATGATGTCATTGAAAGCATAATTGATAAGGTACTTGGGATAACGTAAAACCTTATTGATTCCAACACTTTTAGGAATAGTTGTTGGATTCTGTTTCTTCCCTGAAACCTTTTTTAATATTGTTTCAGACGTTTGAAGAGGCTGACACAAAACATGATGGCAAGATTGACAAGGAAGAGTGGAGAAGCCTTGTTATACGACATCCATCGCTTCTGAAAAATATGACCCTTCAATACCTTAAGTGAGTACAAATATTTGATGCATTTTTCTCTTATTGAGGTATTAGTTCAAATCTGATACGTTTTTTCTGCTAAGCATGAAATTCTGATGGACATCACAAAAACACATTTTGTTTATCAGTATTAACCCAATTTACCCCTTGAGCAGAGACATTACTACCACATTCCCAAGCTTTGTGTTCCACTCACAAGTTGATGATACTTGAACTCGATATTTGCCTTCAAGTGCAATGAGATTTGTTAAATATGGTTTGTTTCTTCATGGAAGATGTCCCTCGCACAAGTCAGAGGAGGGAGAGAATTTCTACAATTGTATTGGTTGTCCTTTTGACAGTTCTTGGTTGTGTATTTATATTCAATAATAATTAAGCTTTTGTTTCCTTTTCTGTGTTTGGTCTGTTATTTTTGTCTTCTAATTATGTAATTTGTGTCAGAAGACTATGGATAAGAACAGACTATCCACACAAGTGAGGTCATGTTAAGTTTTGGAAGCTTAGCATTTATGCTTGTGAATTACCGTTGCCCATTTGCGAGTGCATCATGCTTGTAATTTTAAGAGTCCTGTACAAATCCAGAAAGATGAAAGATTGCCGTCTCTCTCTGCAAACCAAAATATTCAAATAAGGCCTGTTAAGCCATTCACAGCATTCATAATATTCAAAGCATTACCTTCGACTATAAATTTGAGAAACCAAAATGGAATGCTTTGAAAGCTGCTTCTCTAAATAAGGCCTACAAAGCTGATGGATTGCAAATTTGATGAATCTGTTTCACATACCGGACTAAGACTTTTCCATTCGCATCACCTTGTCTATTTTTTTCATGGCAGCTGCATCAAGGTTAACTTTAATCACATGTGGTGGAGGAGGTTCCTAATATAAAGACAAGCTAGTGGTCATCTGGTTCCAAATATAAGGATTTGCCAATTGCCTTTTAATACAAGGATTTACTAATCTTTTAGGATTTTTCTCTGTTTATATATATATAACTTTAGATAGAGAAAGGTAGATTCGGTCCATTACACAGCATTCATTAATACTTCCCCAAAGGGCCATTACCTTCGACCTATATAATTTTCGGAGAAAACCCAAAATTGAGAATTGCCTATTTTGCAAAGCTGCTTTCTGAAATTTAAATGGCCTTTACAAAGCTGATGGAGTGCACCAACTTGCATCCACTCTGTTTCTTCACAATACCGGGACTAAAAAGACTTTTCCTATTCGCATCACTCTTGGTCTATTTTTTTCATCGGCAGCTGCCAATATTTCAAGGTTAACTTTTAATATCACACATGTGGTGGAGCGAGTTCCTTATATAAGAAACAAGCTTAGTGGTCATTCTGTTTCCAAATATAAGGGATTTGGCCAATGCCTTCTTAATAAGGATTTGCCAATTGCCTTTTAATACAAGGATTTACTAATCTTTTAGGATTTTTCTCTGTTTATATATATATAACTTTAGATAGAGAAAGGTAGATTCGGTTGCAGAAACCGCTTGTTGCCTCAAAAGCGTGCAATTCAGTCACTCATAAAATTTCTTGATTGTACATTCTGGTTCACTTGAATAGGAAGTTGATAAGTGCGATCACTTATACAGAGGTGTGTGCATAAATGTTTGAAATTCTTTTTTTTATTTGAATCTTACTACAGGTTCCTTTTTTGAATATTAGATTCTAAATAAGAAGAAAGAATGAGGGAGAATAATGATAATAATGAAGGGAGTGGATTTTTAACTCTTGAAGATTTGAAGGCTAACAATGTGGATATTACTAGAGACATGTCAAAGTTTCAAGGCGCGTACCAATGTGCGATATACTAGAACATTGTCAAAGTTTTGATACTTTAGTGATTTGTCTTCAAAAGTTTGATACTTTAGTGTTTAGTTGCACATTGTTCTTGCTTCTATTAAATGAAGATTTGAAGGCTAACAATGTGGATATTACTAGAGACATGTCAAAGTTTGATACTTTAGTGTTTGTCAAAGTTTGATACTTTAGTGTTAGTTGCACATGTTGCTTCTATTAAATTGGAGAAAGAGGAAAAGCTTCAAAGGTTGATTAAAGAAAAATCTTTAAAGAGGGTAGCAGATTTTTCAGGAAACGAAAAAGGTTTCAGTACAGATTTCAAGAAACAAAGAAACTCTGAAGGAGTTCATCAAAAGAAAAAAAAAAAAGAAAAGGAGAAGGAGAAACTAAAGCTGAAAGCAAGAAAATGAAAGTTACAGTAAATAATTCACAACCTGAGCTACCTCAAAGATTTAAGAAAAAGATTATAGAGATGAAAGGTAGTGATTGGAAGTTACTAATAGAGAAAAGAATAACAAAAATTGATGAAATTGATGCAGGAGATGGTAACAGTCGTTGATCAATGCTAAAGAATCAAATTTTATGTGAGTTTTTGAATGAAGCTGAAAGAGATGAGATTAAAAAACAAATAAAAATGAAGATTGTTGAGCCTTGCCTTGATGTTAGCGATATGATACTCAAGCAATGGGACTATCCAAAGCAAAATGGAAATACAACCTGATCTTATGTGTTTAGAACTTATTGGAATTCTCTTAAGAAAAAGAATGGACTTCATATAGGAGGATCTAATTCAAGTCTGGTCTTTTAGAGTTGAAAATAGGTTTCACTTTGCGCTTGTAAAGAATGAGAGAGGAGCAACAAAGAAAGGAGAAGAACATGAAGAATCTAGTCCAGGATCTTATATCAGTCAATTTGAGGATGAGGATGATAAAAATTAGATGTGTTTTTTTCTTTTTTATTTTTTTGTAATATTTTTGTAGAGAGCAGCAAATTCAACAAATTGATTACGTCTATATCAAATTTAGTTCATACTAGTAAAAATTTATAAATTAAACATAATTAACACAAATATTTAATTTGATTAAACTTCATATAAAAGGTAAACAAATAAATATTATATTTAACTCATAAAATATGAAATACAAAAAGCATTTACATATAAATTTTAAGGATCTGTTAGGATAGATAAGTGTCTGAAATGAATAAAAATTTAATTAAAATAATTAGTCTTGAACTTTCGTTCGAAACAAAAATATACCAATTTTATTTGTTTAATTAAGTCATTTAATAAAATTTAATTTAATTAAAAATCTAATTAAAATAATTCAATGGTTGCTTTATCTAAATATACACACGTAGTCCATTACCAATTTTATTTTTTATATTAACTGGGATATTTATACTCCATTAGCGAATATTGATGAATTAATCAATTACATGAATTTTTAATTTTTCAAAAGATATTTATACTCCATTAGCGAATATTGATGAATTAATCAATTACATGAATTTTTAATTTTTCAAAATTTATTTATTTAGTCTAATAGCACCGAGTAATTTATTATAGGATAACTCGTTAAATTAGATTGATTAATTGATCTTTTGATTTTTGAACCTATAATAATAAGTTTTGAATTATTTTAATTTATTTAATACTTTTCATTTACTTATCGAAATTTAATAAACACATTTTTTTTATTAATCCATATTTATATGTAAATAAATCAAATTCAAGTAATTTATACTAACAATATAACAATTAATTCCTTTGTCACTATACTAGAACGATCCGAATTTAAAAATTTAAATATAAATTCTAACCAATAATATTATAGGACATTATTATATTTTAAAATAATAAAATTAATACCTTGTGAATTTATTTGATAAAATTTAATATAAATACAATTGTATATAGTTAGACCAAACCTAGATTTAAACTAAACCCTTTGAAAACCCCATAAAATTAATTGAAAATTCTAACAAACCCATGAATTGGGCCGAACGAACTCAAATCAACCCAAATCACCCATTAACCAATGAGAAACTTCTAGAGAATTCAAAAATCCCCATTTTGTCCCAACTTTCCCTTCTCCGCTTCCCGTTAACGCTGACACCAGCTGCTCTTCCCTCCCCTTTCTATTCCGTTCACCAGCCAACGTCACCGCCGCCGCTGCTCCCTCGCCTCTCTCTCTCTCTCTCTCTCTCTCTCTCTCTCTCTCTCCTTCCGTCCTACCGATAGTGCAGCAACGAAAGAGTGAGCCTGCGTTTGTTTCCAAACCGAAGACAGCCCCTCCCTTCGTTTCATTTTGCCGGCGTAACTCCCACACACCATCAACGCAGCTTCCACCTCTCTCTCCGGTCTCTCTTTCTTTCTGTTCTGGGTTTAGCGCAGTTAAAGAGGAAGAAGTGCGGCGCTATGCTTCCCAATCGTCAACCCCGTGCTTTCCATTTCCCTTTTTTTTTTTTTTGTCGGCAAGCCAGCCAGTAACCGGCCAATTTAATACTCTCCTTTTTTTTTTTTTTTTGTCGGCAAGACCAGCCAAGTACCGGCCAATTTAATACTACTCCTATCAACTTAAGGATTTGCCAATTGGCTTTTAATACAAGGATTTACTGATCCTACTCCTATCAAAATATGAAAATTATTATTTTAAAGATTATACTAATCATACCGCAAAGTGAATATTTTGCATATAAATGCTAAAACCATCAAAAAATTAGTCGGAGAAGGATACAATATTACCAAAATTTTTAACTTTGGGGACAGAATATGTTCCTCATAAAATTTAGAGTGCCACAAGATTTTTGGGTAAATTACGGGGATAAACTTATGCATTTGCCACTTTATATTTTGATGTGAAGAATGCATGACACAAGCATTTCTACAATCAAACCTCATAGAGTAACGACCATTATTTGCGACTAACTTGTCCTCCAATTTGGTCAAACTAAGAGGGACAATGAGTATAACTTCAATAACTTGTTTAATAATGAGTCTTTTTATTAATTGCACATTTCAAGTACCAACAAAATTATTAATTAATTTATATTGATCTCCATTATCCCTAAGATGCAACTTGAAAGGATATTGAGTAGGAAGCCAAGCATCATATTGACAAGAGATTGATTCTCCATTGCATCCCATCTCACCCCTTGTTTAAGAATTTCACTCTCATCTTCAACCCCATGAAAAATTACTACTTGCCAAGAAAGTTTAAAAATGGAAAATATTTCCCTTTAAGAATCTTTGCCAATAATGAAGTAGGAGAAGTTAAAAGTCCTAGCCTTATTTAGCAAGTAAGGCTAGATTGAAGCTTTTCAAGTTACGAAAGCCTAAACCTCCTTCCGTTTTAGTTATACTAAGACTCTTCCAAGAAATCCAATGTATCTTCTTTTCTTCTTGTTGTTGTCCCCACCATAAATTTGAGATAATTATATTAATACCACGACATAAGTTGGCTGGAATTTTAAAACAAGAGAGAACATAAATAGGAATAACCATAGCTACTACCTTAATTAAATATCCTTCCTCACTAGAGATAATAACTTCTCTTTCCATCCCTTCAATTTATATTGAATCATGCCTGTAATTTCTGGAAAGACTACCACCTTTGGATATATTGATAATATAAGGTAATCCCAAGTAATCCACCAAACTACCATGACCATGGTTTTAGGCTCATGATTTAGATTGAAGATCCAAAAATAATGGTCTATGGTATGAGCCTTAGTCATCAAGGTGCCCAAGTAATGTTTTAGGCTCATGATTTAGAATGGAAATTGTAATT